TTCCCTGAACTCCTCCTACATTTGACAAAGTAGCTTAATCATCTTTTGGGAGATGGTTGGTGGTGTCATGTAGATGTGCAGTAAGGTTTCGGAATTTTGATTTTGCCCTGGGGGTCAAATGGGGGTCGAAAAATGACGTTTTTTATGCTAAAAGCCCCGTCTTCCCTGAACTCCTTCTACATTTTACTCAGCAGCCTAATCATCTTTTGGGAGATGGTTGGTGGTGTCATGTAGATGTGCAGTAAGGTTTTGGAATTTTGATTTTGCCCCGGGGGGTCAAATGGGGGTCGAAAAATGACGTTTTTTATGCTAAAAGCCCCGTCTTCCCTGAACTCCTTCTACATTTTACTCAGCAGCCTAATCATCTTTTGGGAGATGTTTGGTGGTGTCATGTAGATGTGCAGTAAGGTTTCGGTATTTTGATTTTGCCCCGAGGGGTCAAATGGGGGTCGAGAAATGATATTTTTTATGCTAAAAGCCCCGTCTTCCCTGAACTCCTTCTACATTTTACTCAGCAGCCTAATCATCTTTTGGGAGATGGTTGGTGGTGTCATGTAGATGTGCAGTAAGGTTTTGGAATTTTGATTTTGCCCAGGGGTTCAAATGGGGGTCGAAAAATGACGTTTTTTTATCAGTAAAAGCCCCGTCTTCCCTGAACTCCTTCTACATTTTATCAGCAGCCATCTTTTATGTTTGGTGGGAGAGTTAAAATATTTTGAAAATTAGGTAAAACATCAACATCATAGGGTAAAAAATCATAGCATGTGGGAAACATCTTGAATTCTTACAGCAGTATTGTACATGTCAAATGTGAAAGTCATATCTCTTCTCAATCCAAAGTTATAAGGAAATGCAATATTTTGAAAAGTAGGTTAAGCTTCAAGGTCAAGGTCACAGATTTATGATTTATTTAGAAAGGTCTTAATTCATAGGAAATAATATACATGCATGTATAATATGAATTCTTTCAAAATAATGAATTTAAAATAATGTAATTTTTTTGCAAGTAGGTCAAACTTCAAGGTCATGGGTAAAAAAAATCATGGCATTGTCACAGGTAGATATTGATTATACGTATGTGTAATACAAATGCCTTGTCTCTTCTCATTCAATAGATATGACTGTGATGACCAGGGTTAAATTGACAGACTGACATACAGATGTACATATACTGATTTCAATGTGAATTCGGTTAAAATTGGCCCAGTGGTTGTAGACGAGTTAAAAATGTAAAGTTTCCATACAAACAAATGGACGACAGACGTAATGTGATTAAAAAAACCTGAAAAGCTCAAATGAGCTAAAAACATAGGATTCACATGTATTTTGTAAAGGTTACATGGTTACAGTATTTGAAAAGCTTTTTAATGCAATTTTTTGAGAAACTGAAAATGTATGACATATGTATCCATTGTTGAAAAAACTGAACATTTCAGAAAACAATACGTATCATTAAAAATACCCAATCAATGAGTTTTGAGTAGCAAAATAAAGCTAGTAAACTTTTATAGCTAATTCAACCACAGAACTTAGTCAATTTTAAGATGCACAACCTTTTCAAATCTTATAATACATGTAATTATTTTTAAAATATTTATGTAATCAAGAGATACAACCAACATATTCATGTTTTATGTTATTTTTAGTAATTTGTTTGTTTGTTGTGAAAACATCTATCTCGGGAATTTTTCCCTCATATGGAGACACCGCCACTTAAAAGTAATGAAGACAAGATGTGTTTGTTAAACACTGATACCCACGTATGGCAGCTTATGGCGAAGGTTTCTCAAATGTACCTCAAACTCAAAGGTCAACGTCAAAGGGTTAAAATTGATGGTATCGAAAGATACAAGGAATACACATGTGAAATATAAAGAAATATAAAGAAATCCCTAGTACTTCCTGTTCAAAAGTTAATTGCCAAGGTTAATTTCTTTTTTTAAGTGGGTCTAACTCTAGGGCCAAGGTCAAACATATTTATACCTGTTGAAAGTTTACAATGAATACACATGATAAGCATGAAAACCCTAGTACCTACTGATCAAAAATTTAAGCCGAATTACAGATCAAATTTCTGCAGACAAACAGTCAGACATTATTTATAAACACAAGAAACAAAATATGTATATATATAGTCAAATGGAAAAAAAATCTATTTTGGAGTCACAAGATCAATTGCAATTTCACGAACAGGGAGTGGCTAGGGAGATTGGACCCCCCCCCCCACCTTTGGAGTTTGCTTTATACTATATACTGAAGCAAATAAAAAAGTTACTTTGGACATCATCCCCCTTAGAAAACATAGACCCCACGACCCCACTATCATTGTTTTTATTTTGTTTTCAGTTTTTTGTCTTTGCTTGTTAGAAAATTCTGGGCTGACATTTTTTTGACTGAGGTGTGAACCCCCCTCCCCCCTCCTGAAAAAAATCTGGATCTGCACCTGTAACCGAATGTCACATCGACAACGGGAGATAACTTCACAATGTGAAATCCGACTTTACTGTGGCATACGATGATCTTTGAACTTTAACCTAATCTAAATTTAGCATTTCGGTTCATGTTACCCCAATCTATACTTAAACGTGTACTTACAGACTGTCATAGGTCCTGTGAACTTCATGAAATATATAATCCAATTATAACACAAAATGATTTTTCAATACACATCACACTGCAGCATGTGCATGCTATCCTATTTGACAAACCTTGGCTAAATGCAGATGAAGCACGAATCGGCCGAGGTGTGCCGAGTGGTGCTTAATCTAAAATATGATAATGGGTGACGCAACCCAATGTAATGTAGAAATTTTCCAAAAGGTGTTTACATGTAAACACGTATACCCGGTAGTTCAAGAACAAATTTTAAAATTAATTCATAACAAACTATGTTTTAACATAACTTTTCCATCTTCATGTGTATCCTATTAAAAAAAAAGTACGGTTCGTGAGAGTGTGTGTGTGTGTGTGTGTGTGGTGTTTTTTTTTGGGGGGGGGAGCATTATTAAATTTAAAAAGGTACCAATTATGAGCAAAACATTTTTTAAAATCTAATTCACACATAGGCGTCTGAACCGGGGGGCTAAACCCCCCCCCCCCTTTTTTTTTTTTTTTTGCAAAGATGGACATTTTCTATGTATTGAAAATTGGGGTTTACCTTTTTTGTTGGTTTAGCCCCCCCCCCCCTCCCCACTTTCAATTTCCTTCCGACGCCTATGAAGCATATAAATTACATATAAGAGACACTGAGTCATAGGTCACAAAGTCACAGGGTCTGAGAATGTTATACTTAATGTGACGAATACATGTACCGTGTAAATTATAGAATTATTTTGACTTTTCCTTGGAAGGCTTTAAGCCTAATATGTCTGAGTGTGTATTTAGAGGCAAACACCTTAGTGCGGGTATTATTGTCTCATGACAGCATCTAGTTAAATTATTTGCGGACGACACCACTTTACAGGTATATATTATTGTTGAAAACCCGACTATCGCAAGTACAATTTTAAATAGTGATCTCGACAAAATCCATAAATGGTCTAATCAATGGTTAGTTACATTTAATCCTCAAAAAACTGAAAGTTTAACAATCAGTACCAAACGTAACCGAACTTCACACCCAGACTTGTATTTGAATGGACAAAAGATAAGTGAAGTGTCACATCATAAACACCTAGGATTACATTTTTCAGACAACGGTCAATGGTCATATCATGTTAATGTTGTCATGGCGAAAGCGTCGTCTAGGTTACATATTCTAAGACGACTTGAATTTTTATTAGACAGAAAATCCTTAGAAAAACTATACTTCTAATTTGTAAGACCAGTTATTGAGCATGCAGATGTAGTTTGGGACAATATCCCAAATGATTTAGCTGATAAACTCGAAAAAATTAACATTGAGGCTGCTCGCATAGTCACAGGCGCGACTAAACTAGTAAGTTTAAATGATCTTTTTCGAGAAGTTGGGTGGGATACATTGCACAATCGAAGACAAAAACATAAAATGGTAATCAAATTTCACACCATGGTCTATGGAAGTGCGCCTGATTATTTATCTTCTTTAATCCCTTTAAGAATCAATGAAACACACCATTATCCTACAAGACGATCCCACTGCATTACTCAACAGAAGTTCAATACGAACCATTATGCACAATCTTTTCTACCATCCACTACAAAGCTTTGGAACGAACTTTCGATTAATGTTCAAGAAAATCCTTCAGTATCTAATTTAAAACGCGTGCTTAACACAAACTGTTATAAAACCCCAAAATATTTTTTATTTGGTAAGCGCACAGAACAAATTTTACATATACGACTTAGACGTAGTACACTTAATTCCCATTTATTTGCAAAACATATAATAGATAATCCTAATTGTGCTTGTGGAAAAATCGAAACAACAACACACTTTTTATTAGAATGTCCTCTTTACACTGACTCAAGGAAAAAATTCATTGACCCATTAGGACCAGTCACTTTACACATTCTCTTCTTTGGAGATTCTACTAAGAATTATTCCTTTAATACCAACATTTTTAAACATGTGCATCAATTTACTTCTGCCTCTAAAAGATTTGTAACTTGAATATTACTTGTGGCCGTATTGCTATTATGTTTGATTTTGTACTGCATTGTATGACTGTGTTTATTCCTCATTTACTATCAATGTTAATTCATGTTATATCTCTCTCTACAGTTCTTTTTTTCTTCTCATTTTTGTTTCATCTTTATTTCTTAGCTGTTATTTTTCCCATTATAATTGTCATTCAACAAGGGCAAATGTTTATTTATAGTTGAAAGTTAACTTAAGGAAACGGATTAATATAAGTTGTTACAACTTGTTTCCGAATCCTGTTTGTACTATGTATTGTGTATATATGATGTCTAATTTAAATGAATTAAAGTTTAAACTAAGTATATGTCAGACAAATAACGTTGATGTTAACGCATCCATGGAAAACTTTCACCTATTTCCATTTTATCTATTGCAGATGATAGCATCATGAAAAATATTAAGAATTCCGTGATAATATTTCTACATCGTAAAGGTAAGCTACTCCCTTGTTGACTAGTTTTGACCCTCGTTTTTTAATAAATTATAAACATCCGTGTCAGGGTGGGGGATATCAATATCATTATTAACTCTGAAATATTTACTGTATACAGGGTTATTTTCGCCCCGTCTTAGTTTCACCCTTTCACACCTGCAAACAATTTTGCTCCGTTTTAAATTCGCCTAGTCATAGTTTTGTTTAAGAAATTCTACTGTATTCTTTGAATTCGCCCCGTTTTATATTCGCCCAAATGAAAGTAGGGCGAAAGGGGCGCAAATAAAACGGGGGGCGAAAATTTCCCTGTATACAGTATTTATTTCCTTTCATTTAGTCTTAATATATTATACCACTAATAAAATTCTTTAAAATTCATGAAATGATTTAGTTGTAATGGTTGGGAATGTAGTATTTTCTGGACTCAATGAAAAAAAAATTTTAAAGACATCATATTTTCATCAGCATTTGCATTTCACTTATTTGTTTTTAGAAACATTTTTCTATTTCAGGTAGAACATTACTAAAAGTCCTAGCAGTGGTGCTATTCGTTTATTTCATCTCCCGGAAATTTCATTGCATGGTCTTTAAACTAGAAAATGCAGTTTGCATTTCGATCACAGGACGTATGGCCAATGCTATGTTCCAGGAGGCCTTTCTTTATTCATTTTCAAAAAAGAGACATAACTCTGAAGTAGTATTTAGCAGCGAAAACCCTCTTGCTGACATATTTACCTTAGACGGTTTGAACTGGAGGTACGATAATACATATTCTTGCTCGTGTTATTCTCTGTACCAGGATAAATGGAACTGCGCCTATGATGAGTCGTTGGAAAGTCTCAAACTTCCTCTGCAAGTCTGGGGATTTTTTCAATCTTGGAAATATTTTAAAGGTGATGAAGAGGAAATTCGCAGAATGTTTACCTTTCAACCCCGTCTACAAAAGGCAGCCAAGGATCAACTGGAAACCATAGTTGCTTCTTTTGCAAACAAAGGGGTGACTGAGAAGACCGTTCTAGTGGGGGTTCATGTACGAAGAGGAGATTACGTAAACAAAAAAGAATATTTCTTTATAGACTACGGTTACAATGTGGCCACTGAAGCCTATATTCATAATGCCATAACCTTTTTTCAAGAAAAATATCAAGATGTTCTCTTTATTGTATGTGGTAATGGCGTCGCGTGGGCTCGAGAGGTTATGAAGAGTTATGAAAGGGTCCACTTTGTGAACGATATCTCTCCCCCACGAGACATGGCCCTGCTTACTAGGACCCACCACACCATAATGACGGTGGGGACCTTTGGATGGTGGATAGGGTGGTTAACAAACGGAACCACCGTGTACTATAAAAATACCTATCAAGAAGGCACACACTTCAGTAAGGAATTTAATGGCGGTACTAAGGATCACTTTATAGCAAATTGGATTGGTTTAGACTGATAATTTTATTCAATAAGCATAATAAATTTACCATTTTTATGTTTTTTTATGCAGCTGTAGACAATTTTACCTTATTTTATGATTTAACGTCTCATGCAAAGGTGTTCAACCTAGATGAGTTCTTATTCCTTTAATTTTTGTCATTATGTTGTTCTGGATTTTAAAATCTTTTAGAATTTTTTACATCATGTTCATGTTGAGTATTTTTTCACTGTGCTATAGCCTCAGTAATCGTTTTAACTTTGCCTCTGGCAGGAACAGAGCCTAAATAATAACATCAGCATTAATAAATATATAAATATAAACATTAATCAATCTTTAAAATACATCCATTTAATTGATGGGCTGCAAAAAGCTTATGATGAGGACATCACAAAATTTAACCTAGGCTAAATTAAAAGAAGTATTCTCTTTTTTACTCACATTGGTTATGCACAAAGTTAAACATTAATAATGTAACAAAGTTACTTCAAGAAAGGGTTAATTCGAGAATCCGAAAAATCAAATTACACGCATATAATACTTATTTTGTTTATTAGTTGCTTAAATGGTTAAGGTATGGAAGTGTGTTAGAATACTTTTCTAAATGCATCATCACTGCATTTTTTTCTAACAGTGCATACAGATTTGATTTGTAGTGTAGAAATAGCGTGATCGAGCGTATATTAAATATATACGTCAGCTTTCTTCAAATAAAAGAAATTAAGATATAATAAGAGTTACTTGTTACATGTCTCAATACTGTTTTGACTTTTGAGATGACCATGGAATTGATGTTTGTTGATCAATTAAGCCTTAATATTTTTTTTTTTGAAGTTTACTTCTGGTGTTGATCATCATTTTTTAACAAAACTGTCTAGAGGAAGGCATGTGTCGCCTGCTTTTAGCTTCATATTTATCCAGGATAGTAACAGAATAAGACTGCAATTGAATCTGACAATCAAATACAAATCCTTAACCCCTAAAGCTAAAATGGATATATTAATAAAATTAATAATTCATCAATTAATAAATAAGTACGTGATTTCAACAATCATTTGGTCGCCCGTGTGGCACAGTGGTTAGAGCGTCTGCTCTAAAGTCGCGAAGTAAGGACTTGATCCGTACATCGCGGGTTTGAATCCCACAGTGGGACGAGGAGACCGGTCCTTCGGATGAGACCGTATAAACCGAGGCCCAGTGTCGCAGTAGGTGCTGGCAAGAAAAAATCCCTCCTTGCTCAATGGCCCTGAATGCTGAGTATAAGACAAAATTTGCAGCTCTCCATCGGCAAGTGGTGGCGTCTCCATATGAGTGAAAAATTCTTGAGAAGGACGTTAAACAATATACAATCAATCAATCAAACGCTTCTTGAAATATACCCGGAAATGATACTTTAACATACACACACAATTTTTAAAATTACCTTGACCATTGACAGTTTGAACTAAAAGAAAATGGGTCTTCCTTAGGCCCTGGGGAGTTGTGATATAATATGCCATTGCAAAAAGACAAGTTGAACGTATCTCCGGATATAGTGCGCAAACGAAAGTGTTTAAAAGGGCAGAAATTTTGAGTTTATGACCTCGACCTTTGAGCTTTTGACGTCAAAATCAATAGGGGCCTACCTTAGGTCGTAGGCATTTGTACCAAAAATTATTGCAAAAGCTAAAAGTCTTCTTGAGATATCGCGTGGAAACCAAAGTTATATTTTGCACATACATGTATATAAATAGCTGCAGAACTGTAGCTCTCCGAAAAAAATGACAGACCGGAGAGCTACAGTGCAACCCTTTAAAAAAAACTGTATACATGCATTTATTACGCACAAAAAGTTGCGCTTGGTTCTGGATTGATTCTTCCAAATTCTTACCTCAATTGCAAAAAAGCTAATTTTCAAAAGGTCCTTACTCCTCCATCAAGTACTCTCGTAGTTTACATCTGTATGAAGCTCGTTGAACCGAATTATTTTGCAAACCAAAATGGCAGTATAAATAGACAAAAATTTTCGATTATCTCAATTTCAAGGCCAGGAGGGCTATCAACAACAATTATAAGGATTTTTTGTTGCTGTGGAAACAGGGAAAAAATATGTAAGGAACAACAGGTAAGTAATATTTCGAGATGAAAGTTTTAAAAACACGGAGAAATAAATCGAGAAACAGCACACTTTTTGTGTGCAATAAATATACAGTTTCTTTCAATGGGTGGCGCTGTACATGTAGCTCTCCATTTTGTCAATATATTTTTTCCGGAGAGCTATAGTTCTCAGCAAATATTTAGCTTGGCTTATGGCTTTTATATTTTACCTTGATTGCCGACATGGAATAATGCGATATTTAACTCCGAATACGACATTGTCCCGACATTTTACTATTATTTCTAACAGTGATATTAAAAAAAAATATCATAACACATGCGTGGTGGGATTTCTTTGCAGTATCACATTGTTTGATGTTGAACCCACAAGTCAGGATCCTTTGGAAGAATGGCAGGATTTTTAGTCCCATCAGTTATCCCACCTTTATTCCGTGTGTGAAAATATGTCATCATATGGGATATTATCTCCTGTGGGATTTTTTTCTCCCACAATTGTCCATATTGGATAACTCTCACGGATATTGACAATGAGTCATTTCTCCAATACATTGTTGAACTTTGAATATTTACATTTGCTGATGTCTTTCCTTATATAACAGTGCTAGCACTAATAAAATTGAAATTCAATTTTCAATGTCATGTAGTTGGTCACATGATCAGACATTCTTGCGTATGGAAAGCAAATTGCACGAGCAATTTGGAACGTTCTGACTGTGACGTCACATGACGTTGTAGATACTTTACGTTGCATTTCAAAATCAAAGTCTAAATAATGCCTATATTTCTTTGCAACATGAATAAAAACGTAAAATATAAATATACAATGAAGCGCATTGAAGTGGTAAAATTTTCCGTTCGAATGGAACGTTTTGAGCTATATTTAGAGTGTTTATTGTCATCTTTTGACACGCCCATTTCTTTAGAAATTGATAAAACGGTCAAGTTGTTTCTTCAAATACCTGTAGAACAGGTTTTCCATAAATATAATAGCCAATCAAATTGAGGATCTAAATAAACACCGAGTAAACACGTGTTCGACCAAAACATGTGTTGTGGTAACTTCAATAGACATGATAAGTTCAAAAATATGTACATATTCGTTGCAATCTGTGTTTAACAGAAGCGGGGAGTATCTAACTCCCTCTTCTATTTTTTTTAAAGCTCCATTTCAGTGTAACTCATGATGCTTGTCGCGAAGAATGGGATGTCCTAAAACTACGACGAATATTACTTTCTCGTTTCTAAAAATATGGGCGTGTCATTATGTTATAATTGACCTTCAAAACATGACTCAGAACTTTTCATCCAAACGGAGAATTTTACCACTTCAATGCGCTTCATTGTAAGAAATAAAATATCATTTTTTAGAGTTTCATTGGGTCCTGACGTCGACATGAAGTCGGTACGTGTTTGGCGAAGTTTTTGCTGAGAGATAATTAAATGACGTATATCTAACAATTACTTTTACGTCATATTTCACCAAACGATATCATTTTGCCCTGCAAAAGAGCAGTACTGCAGTTACTGTGAAACGATATATACAACGCCCTTCAAGCGTTATAGAATTTGATCACGTGACCGACTTTATGTCATACCCCAATGAAACTCTAAAAATGATATCTTATTTCTTAAATATATCCCATAGTTTATGAGAATGATATCCCACTCAACCTACTTTTTGTGATATTAAATTGTACAGTCATGTATATTATATCGCACTGTTATAAGTATACTAGAACTTGACCTTTGGCCTACTTTAGAAAACTTCTTTTACGTACAACTTCTTTTTGACATTTTAGAGGTAAGTCTATGCTTTTTAGAATGCGCACTGTTTGTCATATGCATACAACATTATGAAAAATAAAAGTTAACTTGACCTTGACCATGTTGACCTTTGACCTATTTTGCAAAATATACTGCAGGGAGTAAAATTTAACTGATATCTTTTGAATTTAGAGAGGCAGGAATTTGATTACAAACATTTATACATGTTTATTAGCTCATGGCAATATACTTTGACACTGTATGAAGTACAGTAACGGTTAACCATAAAAAACTCATCATATTACGGAATATTTTTTTCAAATGCATGTATTGTGAAAAATTGTAATAAACGTACATTCATTATTTCCATATCATTTTACAGATTCTTATAATATTAAAATATCTTATTCAATGCAAGTCGCCATGTGGCGCAGCGGTTAAAACGTTTGCTTTGGAGTCACAGACCTGAAGACGTCGATCCTTACATCGCGGGTTCGAATCCCAATATGGGGCGTGGAGATCTGCCCTTCAGGATGAGACCGTGAAACTGAGGTCCTGTGTTGCAGTAAGTGCTGACCAGAAAATTATCCCTCACTACTCAATGGCCCTTAGTGCTGAATATAAATCTAGATTTGCAGTCCGACAAAGGCAATGAAGGTGCCTCTATATGAGTGGAAAATTCTAGAGAGGGTCGTCATTCATGACACCGTCTATCAGTACTCACAGTGCTTTGATTTAGTAATATTTACATTTCCAATGTCTTTGTCCGAGATAAAATTACCAATTGTAAATGTAATTTATTTCCTCATGAATGTCTTGGCGCGGTTCCAAAAAAAAACCACGTGCAGGGCGGGACAACACCTAGAGAGAAGCAGGCTAGGAGCCCGTGGATTGGCGGAATCAAAGCATCACCGTATACAACGGGTACCGCGGGGGAGTCGCTAAAAAGTATGGGGGAGTCGTTTTCAACGTATGGGGGAGTAGATTTTCACCGCTTCGGAGTCAGAGGAGATGTGGGTCACGTCTTTTTTCGGTATATATAAGATGTATTTACAAAAAACAAATATCCCACGGAAGATGGCAATAGTTAAGCTTTATCGTGGTCATTTGTCCGGCTATCATATACGTCTAGTTTTCTCAAACACTTCGAAACTATTTGACAGTTTTCATATTTACGTTGATCGGGTGGTAAAAACATGCATGATTTGCACAATCTACGGCTTGCGTAGGGATTCTCACATTTAAAACAACGAGAGAAAACGTTTATCTTTTAAATGCAACAACTTAAACTTGACTAGACTTTATAAAATTTAATAATTATGACATTTTCTCTTCAGACAGTAACGGTTACGTAGGGGGGAGTCGTTTATGGGAAAGCACATCGCAGGGGGAGTCGCAAAATAAAGTCAAATGCATATATACTTGGTGTTGTTTTCATCTCTTTTATACTGACAATACCTTTTTATTTATTCGTAGATATCTATAAATCTATGTTTGTTTATTTACTTTATAATCTTAAGTTACGAAAAGAGATTTTTTCTGTGGCTTTATCAGTTCCAGAAAACAATCAGCAATTTAGATTACATGAATAATTGGATTACATATCATCGGAGCACATGTGCTTGGGGACAGGACCCTCCCCCTCAGTATGTAATGTTCGTACATGTATATCACAAAATTTCAATTCACGAACCCTCACTTCCAATATGAAAGCCTCTCCATAAAAAAGAACAACCCGATTAATAATTTGGAAAATTTCTTAATAATATCAAACCTTTATTATTATTATTACTGCAGAATACTTAAATTATAGTAGCTATTATTTGCTAATGTGTTAATACAATTTGGTTGTCAAACTGTTGTAACCTC